CGTTTAGACAACACAACTTTCATCAGCGAGTGATCAATCAGTGGTGCCCAAGTCTTAAGGGCGGTCCAAAATGGGGTGTTTACAGTACACGTGAAACACGAGCCCGAGCGGTTTTTCTCTTATCTCAGGGCGCGTGAAACGTGACCTCGAGCGATTTTTGTTTCTTAATTTCTCAAGATGCATGAAACGCAACTCTGAGCTGTGCTTCTTTTCCTCGTCTCGCGTTTTGGCGTGGTTAGAGCGTGTTTTAGATCTTTTTGCGTGGAACCTGTGTTGGTTTTAAGATTGAAGTTGCTTATTCATATGTTGTTATCTTGTTATTGCTTTTTGCATTTGTTATTGCTTATTGCATCATCTTGCATGATCGTAAGTTTTCAAAATAGCCGGCTTCGCGAAACGTGTGAGTCCAGCTTCAAAGTTTCTTTGTGCATATTATTTGCATATTATTTGCATCTTGCCCCAGAACTACATTGGTTTGATTCCTTAGAAAGGGATACGTAGGCAGCCTGCGGGCGCGACCATTTTTAGTTCATGTCTTGCTTTCTTGTCCAAGTCTTGCGGCTTTGTCAAATTGGGTCATCTTCGAGCTTTGATATTCACTCTCGTCATTTCATGACTTCTGAGTTCTGTCAAAGAGGGGCAACTGTAGACACCCCACTTTGACTGCCCGCGAGACCTGGACGATCAGTTTGGTGCACTCAATGATGAAAGTTGAATTGAGAGAGAGAGAGAGAGGGGTAGATAATTGATGGCCGAGAATGAACATTTCCTCCGAAGAGAAAATCTTACAGATGATGATATGATCAGTGACTTTCCTCCCTATTTCAAATCACGGATCATATCATCATCTATAAATTTTCTCTCCGGAGGAAACGTTCATTCTCGACCATCGATTATCAACGCCTTTCTCACTCTTTGTCTGGGTACTTCCCAACACCAGCGGCGAAAGTGTTCCTTTTATATGCCTAGTTGCCTCATTAAAAAAATATAATATAATATAATATAATAATAACAGTAGTAAAATAGTAAAATTAAAAGTGTAGGTGGAAGGAAACTGAACAGAAAAGTCAAGTCAAGTGATTCAAGAGGTTCACGTGGTCCAATCTTTAAAAAATAAAATAAATAAAATAAAATAAAATAAAAAGCTACGCATGGTCAAAGTAAACAGAAAAAAGAAATAAAAGGAAAATTATATTTGAGATATATATACTATATGCACTCATGGTTATGAATTATATATTTTTTGTTATGATTTATTATTTTCTTAGTTATGATACATTATGATCTTGATTATAATATTATTTTTTGGTTATGATTCTAAAACTGTTTAGTTATATCACGTGTGATATTTAGTATTTGTAATAACCGAAAATTTGCAAATAATATAATTTACATATGGTACCATAGCAATACCCTTGTTTTTTTTTTTCATGTAGTAAAGGTGTATATCTCACAATCTTTCCCAAATTGGACATATTCTGTGATGACCAATTCAGACACCGACTCGATTCAATTTATGTTATGCCGGGTAAGTAGTCATTGTTGGAATTTCTTTCTTAAATATTTTCTACTGTGGTTGTTTTGAGTCTGAGTTTTCACTTGTTTCGAAGGGTGCGAGGTTGGCACCGTAGAGTCGGGGAAGAAGTCGAAGTTTTTTCGGACTGGAGGACTACGGCCCCATGCACGAGGCCCTGGGTCTCACGTCTGGGAAGGAGAGGCCGCACGTGTTGAGGACCAGGCCGCAGGTGCGGGAAATTGGGAGGAGAGGTTGTGTGCACACTGTCTAAATGGCAAGTGCGGGGGTGAGAGCCGCCCGTACGGGAGAGGCGCTCCGCACGTGCGGGAGGAGGGCGCTCCATGTGCGGCTAGGTGTCTTTTCAGCTCCATTTTTAGTGCATTTTAGCTATATTTTGCATCTTTGCTCCTTTTCCTCCCATTTCAGATCATATCACTCTCTCTCTACAATATATTCTCTCTTTTTTTCTCTCATCTCTCTCTACCCAAACACACAAAACATTACATTTCTTTTTGATCCCAAAAATCCATTGGGATTTTGATGCTAGTCCCTTATACCAAAATGATGAGCGTGTTGAGGGCTTCGTCTTGATCGGTGGAGATCGTATTTCGGCAAGGTCTATTTTTGGGCTTTTTCCCCTCTTCTCTCTTGAGGTCGGGATTTCCTTGATTTTCTTCAACGCTTCACCTATAGATAGACATGTGGTATGTTCATATTGCATAAAAACCAAGTTGTTTTGGATTTCTTTTGAAATTCATGAATGGGGATCTAAGATGGGTTGTGTAAGGTTGAGATTTGGGGTATTTATTATTGTGGGGTGTATTTTGAAAGGTGGACTAACATGTTTATATTTGGAAACTAGTTTTAATAATAATGTTCATTGGATAAAAAGGGTTTTAAATTATGGAATAATCATGTTTTGAACCTAGGAAGTTAAGTGATGAATTTTGACTTACTTGTGATTAATCAGACCTCATGAAACATATCATTTACTTGGCGTTGTGTTGTTTAATGTTGTTCATAACAAATTGGTAATATGAAAATTGATAAAAAAGGGATTAGTATGACGAGAATATTATCGGGTTACATTACCGTTAAATAGAAATTGGGTAAATTATAACCTTGTTGGCAATGATTGGAATCCCTTATTTAAATGAAGGAAATTGAGTTGATTATGTTTTTGTGAAAGGAAATAAATGGATCATGGCTAAGGGTGGAATAAAATTATTAATGTGGAAGAATAAGGTAATTGATCCTAAAATAGAAAATTGAGTTGACTTTTTTAATAACTTTTTAATTAAAATGTTCAATTCCCAAATTAACCTTAGTTGTTTGTCTAATATTAATCTCTATTTAGTATGTGTAATTTTAAAAAGAATATGTCCAATTTGGGAAAGATTGTGAGATATACACCTTTACTATAAGGAAAAAAAAAAGGGTATTGCTATGGTGCCATATGTAAATTATATTATTTGTAAATTTTTGATTATTACAAATACTAAATATTACACGAGGTATAACTAAACAATTTTAGAATCATAACCAAAAAATAATATTATAATCAAGATCATAATGTATCATAACTAATAAAATAATAAATCATAACAAAAAGTGTAAAAATCATAACCAAGAGTGCATATAGTATATATCTCAAATATAATTTTCATTTTATTTGTTTTTTCTGTTTACTTTGACCATGCATAGCTTTTTATTTTTTATTTTTTTAAAGATTGGACCACGTGAACCTCTTGAATCACTTGACATGACTTTTCTGTTCGGTTTCCTTCTACCTACACTTTTAATTTTACTATTTTACTACTGTTATTATATATATATATACTAGCATATGCCCGTGCCTGAAGGCACGGTGTAAATAATGTTAGGATAGTTCATATACTGGATAATTAAAATCTTCATAGGCCAGAGAAGAATTAAAAAAAAAAAACCATAAAACTCTGGAAGAGAGAGATGAATTTTACCTTGCGATCAGAAAATACCAAAGAAGAAGAGGCCTGGAGAACAGAGAGATAAAAGAACATTTAATCAGTTCAGTTTACAATTGAAAGCAATTGAAATCAGAAAATGAAAATTGGAATTGAAAATCTATATAAAGATACATACTCCACAAATCTACAACTCACCCAATTCAACATTTATTTTCCTGTATCTGTTTAACATTTCTGGGTATTGTTCTAATCAGTTTTTCTGTCTCCATAATCACTTCTTTTTTGGTTTGATATTTCTTATTTGAATTGGGTTTGGTTTCGTTTTTCTTTGTTCACCCGTAAAGATTATAATTTTGTTTCTTGGGTATAATTCTGTGATGTTTTAGGTAGGGTTTTAGATATATTCTGTTTATTCTCTTTGTTCTCTGTCATTCTTTATATGAATTCTTTATATATATCTGTGATTGGTTTTAGATATATTCTATTTATTCTCTTTGTTCTCTGTCATTCCATCCCTGTTATCAACATTTGTTGATCAACATTTTGTAAGTGGGTATATATATCTGTGATTGATCAAAACACATATATATATATGTTTCCCATGATTATAATATTATGGCTTACTTGTGAAAGCACATTTGCAAAGACAGGACAATCCTCTTTCCATAAGACCAATGAAAAATAAATCAATAAATAAATATATCCAGAAAACAAAAAATTGATATAAGAAAAATATTCAATTACTAAGAACAGTGGATGGTAATCCAATTTTCTGTATGAGTAGAATTTTGCTATATGAAAGATCCTTTGTTTTACCTCACAACAGTGGATGGTAATGCAATTTTCTGTATGAGTAGAATTTTGCTATATATAAGACTACAGCCCTAAGTTGAACCACAATGGAAATAAGACTACAGCTATATATACCCACTTCGTAATCACTATTTTTTATGTTCATAGTTCATAATACTTCATGAAATATAAGATGCAAGTAATCATTGGTTAGACAGTAAAATTATTTACCCCCAATTGCTACTTATGAACATTGGTTGCTGGAGGAGTTTACACTGTAGTATTGTGACACATATAGGCTATTATTATTCTAATTAAGTAATTGAGCCCTAAAGTGCAATTGCAATTATTAAGTGAAGTTAATTGGAATTAATTGGTTGTCTTTATCCTTATTAAGAGACAGGGGGTGAAAGAATCCAACTAGAGCTAGAATTTGGGGAAGCCTAAGAGGTCCCAATCCAAAACATAGAAGGATTTGGATACATTAAGAGGTTCGAGAAAGTCTCTAAACTAAAAGGATCCCACAATCCTCTGGCCATACAACATCCCAGAGGACATTGGATTGAAAGCTTCAAGGGATTCAAAATGAAAGATTCTTCAATAATTCATCAAGAATTAATGATGCTTCATCAAGATTCAAGTGTGCTCTTGAAGAAAAGCACTCAGCTCAAGAAGCATTCAAATTTTAAGCTCTACAAGGGGATAATCTTCTTGTATCATCTTTACATACATCAAAGGCAAGTTTTTAATTAAATTATGGGCTGGAACAATTTAAAGTTCTAAAATTTTTTAAAACATATGTTTCCACTTGGAATTAGATTTGAATAGATAGTTGTAAGCCTTATAGACTACAATACGAAATAGTAATCAATAATATGAACCTAGATAACATATTTACTAACCCGCAGCTCCAAGCATCTCCTGTAGAATAAAAATAAAAACATTATTAGTGATCAGAGACGTATGAGCTTTAGAACATGGGAGTGAACAATAATGCATATGTCACCTTAGTCATACAGTCATTAACACTGGATGATCTTGCACAACCTGACTTCAGCACCACTTGCAACTACATCATTATTAGAAAAAAATAAAAAATGATTCCCCCAATTGCAGAGTATATGAATGAACCAGTAAGTTTTGATCAAATCATCAAAACACCATAAAAAATAAAGAGAGGTAGATAATCAAGTCAGAAAATCAGAAAATAAATCATCAAAACACCATAATGAATGAACCAGAGTATATGAATTGGAAGCAAGAACAGGGAGATGATCAGAAAATACCGACAGAGGGAAAATCTAAAAATAAATCGTTCTGTTTTCTGCTTTCTCTGCAAGCCGAAATCTGAAATTTTAAGTCAAAATTAATTTCAGAACATGAGACCAAAGATGAGCAAGCAAACGATTTTTTTTTCTTGCATTGCCGAAGAAATAGCCAACATAAACCCAATCAGATTGTCTTTGGAGAAACCCATTATTGATTCTCTCTCTCACTCCCCCTCCCTCTCTCTATCGTCCCTCTTTCCTTCTCCTCTTTATCGAAATATTCCAAAAATAATCGTTATCTGATGACTTGCGCATCTAACCCTAATTGGCCAGAGATTATATACCATTAATTTCAGAACATGAGACCAAAGATGAGCAAGCAAACGATTTTTTTTTCTTGCATTGCCGAAGAAATAGCCAACATAAACCCAATCAGATTGTCTTTGGAGAAACCCATTATTGATTCTCTCTCTCACTCCCCCTCCCTCTCTCTATCGTCCCTCTTTCCTTCTCCTCTTTATCGAAATATTCCAAAAATAATCGTTATCTGATGACTTGCGCATCTAACCCTAATTGGCCAGAGATTATATACCATTAATTTCAGAACATGAGACCAAAGATGAGCAAGCAAACGATTTTTTTTTTCTTGCATTGCCGAAGAATATTAGTTTCAAATCTTCCTATATAAATTTCTGAAAGGGAGAGAGTTTTAGAAGTAAACCCAAATTGACTACCAGAGTGATCTTAATACAATCTCTGCCAATTTATTTTTCTAGGTTTTCTTTCTCAAAACCCCCAAAAAGAGAATTTTACCTTGCGATAAGAGGAAGTCGGAAACTCCAAGGCGAATCTGTGGTTGAAGGCGAATCTGTTTGTTCTGCTTTCTCTGCAAGCCTTTGAAGCCGAAATCTGAATTAATTTCTATATGTTTTGTTTACATTGTGATCATGCTGAACCACCAGAGAGGATCCAGAAGGTACGAATAGCCACCAACACCTAATTAAAATCAAATCAAAGACAAACCCATTTGAGAAAATCCAAAACCCAAAAAAGGAAAATCCGTAAATTCAGAGAACATCAAAAGAAAATGAGATCAAAAAAAAAAAAAAATCACCAGCTCTAACACCAGAAACAGCAGAAGCTTTTCTGAGGCTTTCTTCTTGATAATGAAGCTCGCTTTTCTGAGGCCTTTCTTCTTGATAATAAAGCTCGCTCCTATAAACACACTTGAAGAAATCTTGTGGAGAGAGAGAGAGAGAGAGAGATAAAGAGGGATGGAGGGAAGACGTGATTTGGCTGGAGATCAGAGAGACAAAGATAGAAGGGTGGGAGAGACGTGGGTAAGGAGGAGGCATACTATTTGGACGGGAAGATATATATTTAGGATTGATATAAAATTAAGGGGTCATCTCAGCCATCTATCTAAATAAGCAAATGAATTATGACCCTTGAAATGTCCTAGTAGGACAATTGTGTCTACCATATTTTCAAAAATCGTTCTGCTTTATTATATAAATTTGCATATTGAGATAATTTTTTTCAAATATCATAATAATTAAATTATCTATATAATAAAGCAGAACGGTTTCACAGAGAGAGAGAGAGAGAGAGAGAGAGGCGTTGATAATCGATGGTCGATTATGAACATTTCCTCCGAAGAGAAAATCTTATAGATGATGATATGATCAGTGACTTTCCTCCCTATTTTGAATCACGGATCATATCATCATTCATAAATTTTTTCCCCGAAGGAAACATTCATTCTCGGCCATCGATTATCAACACCTCTCTCACTCTCTATCTATGTACTTCCCAACACCAGCGGCGAAAGTGTTCCTTTTATATGCTTAGTTGCCTCATTAAAAAAATAAAATAAAATATAATAATAATAACAGTAGTAAAATAGTAAAATTAAAAGTGTAGGTCGAAGGAAACTGAACAGAAAAGTCAAGTCAAGTGATTCAAGAGGTTCACATGGTCCAATCTTTAAAAATAAAATAAAATAAAATAAAAAGCTACGCATGGTCAAAGTAAACAAAAGAAACAAAAAAAAGGAAAATTATATTTGAGATATATACTATATGCACTCTTGGTTATTATTTTTAATTTTTTTTTATGATTTATTATTTTCTTAGTTATGATACATTATGATCTTGATTATAATATTATTTTTTGGTTATGATTCTAAAATTGTTTGGTTATACCTCGTGTGATATTTAGTATTTGTAATAATCAGAAATTTGCAAATAATATAATTTACTTATTGTACCATAGCAATACCTTTTTTTTTTTTATGGTAAAGGTGTATATATCACAATCTTTCCCAAATTGGACATATTCTGTGATGACCGGTTAAGACACCGGCTCGATTCTATTTATCTTATGCTGGGTAAGTAGTCGTTGGAATTTCTTTCTTAAATATTTTCTAATGTGGTTGTTTTGATTCTGAGTTTTCACTCGTTTTGGAGGACGCGAGGTTGGCACCAGAGGGTAGGGGAAGAAGCCTCACGTGCGAGGCCTTGGGCAGCACATGCGGGGAGGGGGGCCGCACGTGCGGGAAGTTGGGAGGAGAAGCCGTGTGCACACTGTGTAAAAGGCAGGTGCGAAGGTGTGGTGCAGGGGTGAGAGCCACACGTGCGGGAGAGGCGCTCCGTACGTGCGGGAGAGGTGCTCCGCGCGTGCAGGAGGGGGTCGCCGCAAGTGCGGCTAGGCGCATTTTTAGCTTCGTTTTTTTTGCATTTCAGCTATATTTTGCATCTTTGCTCCTTTTCCTCCCATTTCAGATTATATCAGTCTCTCTCTACAATATATTCTCTCTTGTTGTATCATCTCTCTCTACCCAAACACACAAAACATTACATTTCCTTTTGATCCCAAAAATCCATTGGGATTTTGATGGTAGTCCCTTATACCAAAATGATGAGCATGTCGAGGGCTTCGTCTTGACCGGTGGAGATTGTATTTTGGCAAGGTCGATTTTTGGGCTTTTTCTCCTCTTCTCTCTTGCGGTAGGGATTTCCTTGATTTTCTTCATTGCTTCACCTATAGATAGACATGTGGTATGTTCATATTGCATAAAAACCAAGTTATTTTTGATTTCTTTTGAAATTCATGAATGGGATCTAAGATGGGTCGTGTAAGGTTGAGATTTGGGGTATTTATTGTTGTAGTGTGTATTTTGAAAGGTGGACTAACATGTTTATTTTTGGAAACTAGTTTTAATAATAATGTTCATTGGATAAAAAGGGTTTTAACTTATGGAATAATCATGTTTTGAACCTAGGGAGTTAAGTGATGAATTTTGACTTGTGATTAATCAGACCTCATGAAACGTAACATTTACTTGGCATTGTGTTGTTTAATGTTGTTCATAATGAATTGGTAATATGTAAATTGATAAAATGGGGATTAACATGACGAGAATATTATCGTTTTTTGATTCAAATGAAAACTTAAAGGCAAAGAGCAAAGCATTCCAGAGAAAGTTTTAAACCCGACTAGAACTAGCACTGCACATGTCAGTGATCAACAAAGGAAGGATGGTGGTCGGAGGATCATCAAGAAATACAGTGTATTCTTGTTGGTTTACTCCCAAATTAGCTAGAGCATTAGCACTTTGGTTGCCTTCTCTGGGTATGGCTTTGATTGAGCATTGGCATCGCCTTAACAGAAATCTTGCATCTTCAATGAGGGCTCGATAGGGAGAGTTTGCTTCAGCACCATCACGGATCAGAGCCATGGCTGTCTGGAAATCTATTTCAATTTCAACATTGGCCAGCCCCTTTTGCATGAAAATGGTTAAGCCTCGATAGATACCCCAGAGTTCAGTTTCCAGGCTTGTACAGTTGCCTAGATAGCTGATGTAACCCCATAGCCAGGTTCCCACCTCATCTTTTAGCAGCATGCCATAACCTGATTAACCTGGTTTGATTTGCATCCAACAACTTTGCCCCTGCCTACGGATGCCCTATCTTTTGGTCGATGACCAACTTGTATACATCTGTGGGCATTCTGAGAAAAGAGGCATCGACCAAAAGATAGGTCATTGACCACAGCATCCGTTGTATTTAACCAACTTGTGGGCATTCTGAGAGGTCATCCAAACCCTCGACCAGGCTGAGGCCAGAGGCAAGAACAAAGTGAAGGCAGATGCCGATCCCAGTGAACAACTGCTGTGGACAGTCGAGGCTTCGAAAGCCGCGGGGATGAACAAACAACAAGTATTCGCAGTCGTGGCAAAAACTATGGAGGATGCTTTCCCCACTCTATCTGAGGGGAGTTCAAGTCAGTCGGAAAATCGGGATAGGCCCCGTCATGCCAGAACAGTTTCTCCTATTCCCGCCCCTGCTCCTAGGAAAGACCAGAAAGCCAAAGCAGTGCCTGCCGACCCTTTTGCTTGTGCGGCTAGTAAAAATGCTCAGACTTCAAAGTACCTGCCCCGAGGGCACAGGACCTTTCATGCTCTCTACATGCCTCTATCTAAGGCACTTCAGATCCTTGCCGAGAGGGGACACCTTAAACCCTTGGAGCCTCGGCCTCTCCCGAAGAATCTCCCTGCTACGCATGATGCTGCTCAGTACTGCGCGTACCACCAGCAGACAGGTCATGCTACCGACAATTGTTTCCGCCTCCGTCATGAGGTGCAAGATTTGATCGACAACGAGGTTATCCTCCCGCCCACCTCAGCCAAGTCCATTACCACCCAGTTATTGGATTTTGAGGACACGGATACTGCAAGTATGTAATCAAAAAGTGAACCACCTGCGGGCGACATTCGGTATATTTTGGATGTGGCGTCTGGCACGCATTTTTGTGCATCGGTGAAACCAAGTTTTGTAAATTCTGGCTTGGGTATCGAGTCAGTCTTTTGTTTTGAGTCTGTCTCTTTGTCTTGAGTCAGTCTTTTTGATTAAGGGTCTGTCTTGTAGTATCGAGTCAGTCCCCTTTTGTATAGAATACCAGGTGATTCCGGAGTTGTTGCCTCGAACACCGTTTTGTCTTGTAATTACCCATTTTTGTTTTCGAGTCTGTTTCTGCCGAGGGGCCAATTACA